GTTGTGTGGTAACGAATGCATGATCCTTACAAGCTGAAGAACGGTTTCTTGTTGGTCACCTCTGCTGCTCTGGGTGAGCAGAAACCAGGCTGTTTCCTTAGTGTTATAACTACACTTGTGCAGTGCAAACTCAAGTCAGCTACTCCTGTCTGAACAGCCTTTCTAATTGAAAGTGGGTCATTCCGTTCCCATAAATAACGCTTTGAACGTTGTCTCTTACCTTTGGGTATCTTATCATCACAGAAACTGGAAACTAGAAACTTTATATCACAGTATGTATAGTCATCTTGTATACTTGGCTTCTTTAATAGAAATGCATTAGTCTGTCTGTACATAGTGAGGTGGTTTGAATGAAATACCCCTCATATTCTTAGGCCTTTGAATACTTGGTCCCCAGGTAGTGGCACTGTTTAGGGGGTCTTAGGGGGTGCTGCCTTGCTGGAGGAGGTGCGTTACTCAGGGCAAGCTTGGAGGTTTCAAAGCTTTGGACCATTTCCTGATAGCTCTCTGTTTCCTGCTTATGGTTTGGGATGTGAGCTCTCAGCTCACATCTCATGCCTAGTGCTTGCTGCCTTGCTTTCTTGTTGTGGTGATAATGGGCTCTTAACCCTCTGGAACTGTAAGCTCAAAATAACTCCTTTTTATAAGTTGTCCTGGTCATGGTGTTTTTTTTTTTTTTTATCACAGCAATAGAAAGGTAACTAAGGCAGAGGTTGGTACCAGGGAGTGGGCTAGCTGTGACAGATATGACCTTATGTTTTGTTTTTGTTTGTTTGTTTGGTTTGTGGAAGACTTTGAAACTTTGGCCAAGCAAAGTGGTTGGATGTTATTAGCAGGACTTAATGAGCCATCCTAGTAGGTTCTTGGAAGACGGCGCTGAGAGTGATGTGGATTGTGGAAGTGCAGCTTAAGATGTTTCAGTGGGGACAATGTCAGCAATGATCCTGAGACCATTGCCTGCTCTCATTCTGAGATGAGAACTCTCTGCTGTTCCTAGTTCTTGTCCTCACGTTTTTCTGCTGTGATGGGATGGACTTAATCCTTCTGGATCCAAATGAGCCCTTCCTTCTCTAAGTTGCGTTGGTCATGGTGCTTTATCACGGCAACAGGAAAGTAACTAAGACAATAACCTGCTACATTAAGAACGACTTGGTGACCTTATCTACATATTACATGGATCACCACAGGACATTAGGCAGAGTTGTTTTGTTCATCAAAGATGCTTGTAAAAAGTGCAGGGATGAGTTTGGTGAGACAGTTCAATGGAGCATCCCCAACACCCACAAATAAATAAACATTGAAAAAATTGTTTTAAGGTGACAGAGCTTCAGATGGGCTTCTGTAGTGTGCCAGCTGAAACTTCTTAAGCCTGCAAGAAACTTACTTGCCGTTTCCATGTTTTCTTGTGAGAAGAGTTCTCCCCCAGGCCCCCCTTCTTTCTTGTTTTAAAAATTAAATTATGTTAAATTATTTGTACACGTGTGGATAATGTACACATGGCCGAGGGGGCCTGAGATTTCGAATCCCCCGAGTTGGAGTTACAGGCAGCTGTGAACCGATCAACCCGGATACTGGAAAATGGACTTAGGTCCTTTACAAAAGCCAGTGTGTACTCTGAACCACAGAGGCATCCTCTCTGTCCTAACACTCTGAGTTATCTGTATAGATCTCTAGCTTCTTTCTGCCAGGCACAATTAAGACACTTCTACCTTGTTGATAACACTTTGCCATTGGGTTTCATGGTGACTCATTATAAGCCAGAGTCAGGGACTGGTGAGTCTTCCTTTGGTGATGGATTAATCTGCTTCCTCCTCTCATTAATCTCCTGGGCTTCCCTAGTGTCTCCTCCAGTGGATCTCTCGCTATTACATGCATGCGCCTGTCTTGTTAGTGGTCCAGCCTGTTGTGCTTTACTGGGACTGTGTCATTTGAACACTACAGCTGTTCGTACTGGTGGAGGAGGAGATGGAGAAGGAAGCAGAGGCAGAGGCAGGGAAGGAAATGGGTGAGGAGGCAGAGGTGGGGCGGGCACAGGAAGTACAGGAGGTACAGGCTGCAGTACTGTGGGAGGAAGTGTAGCTCAGATCTCTCCAGGTTACAGCACAGGCAGGCACATTTGTAGCTATATGTGACACATTTTGGCAATTTGGACAAGAAGATTTTTCCCAGATGCTCTTCTGGGTTTCTTGGATCTTTCATAATTCGTTCTGGAAAAAAAACAAACAAACAAACTCTAGGGATATGACATTCTTGATTGTAGATTAAGGACGTGAAGTTGGTAACTCTCAGTACCTCAGCACCAAGTGTATGTATACCATATTCTTTGCATTCTTTGACTGCACCTTTGACGGTGGAACATTTGAAGCTTGCACATATCCTGAGTGGGTTTCTCCTTTAGTGCCTTTAGTGTGTATCTGTTGAAGAAGTGACTGTGTGCTTTTTGAGCTTGTGTGGAGAGGAAGATATACTAGCTCACACTGAGTGAGAAGTCTGTTTTTACTATTTTAGTTTGGGTATGACTGTAGTCTTAAGAGTCTGTAACAAAGTCACAGGGGCCCCTCCACCCCCAAATTAAATCCTCAAGAAAGACCTGTCTTGACCTTAGAACTTTATTAGTGTGTGTGAGTTAGTTCCCGAGAGGGGTTTGTGTAACTAGTCGGGAGGGGAAGAGATCCTACCAAACACTGCGTGAATGGGGTACCTAGTGAAACACATTATTTTGTATATTAACCCTAAATATAAAGTTAACAAGCTGGATGTGGCCCTGCTCACCTTCAATCCCAGCACTGCAGAGGCAGAGGCAGGGACAGGGGCAGGGGCAGGGGCAAGGGCAGGGGCAGGGGCAGGGGCAAGGGCAGGGGCAGGGGCAGAGGAGAAGGCAGAGGCAGAGGCAGAGGAGAGGCAGAGAGGCAGAGAGAGATAGAGAGGCAGAGAGGCAGAGAGAGGCAGAGAGGCAGAGAGGCAGAGAGAGGCAGAGAGGCAGAGAGGCAGAGAGGCAGAGGCAGAGGCAGAGGCGACAGGTGGATCTGTGAGTTTCAGGGCAGTCTGGTATACAGAGTGAGTTCCAGACCAGTTGGGGTACACAATTGGACTGTCTCAAATAACAAATAAACAAACCAAAAAACAAAAAGCCCCAACCAACCAAAAAGAAAATGGCCAAGATACCCATTTTAAGGATCAAGAGTAATTTTTCTCATGATGTTTTTTTCCTTCTGGTGATAGCCTCGGATACTTGTCACAACTGAGGAAAAGCAGTGTGGTGACACCGAAGGGGATTTGGGTATACTTCTCCCCACTTTGTACTTCACAGGAAGCAAACTTCAGATGGTGAGAAACCAGTGTGGCTGTCATAAGCCCCCAAGTGCTAAGATGACAAGCGTGAGCCACCATGCTTATCTGCTGCTGATTCATCTTCAAGCAGGCTTCCCCTGTTTCTCCCACACTCTTCCTATTTGTCTGTCATCCCAGCAAGAGTGGTGTGGAGGGCTGCTACTATGGAAACCTCTCTGTGCTCTGAACTTTGCAATGTTATGGGGTTTGGCCCAGGGAAGCAGAGGACCCTGATCGCTCCCTGAGTTCTTGGAGACAAATGTTTGTAAGGTTCCAGGTTGTCTTGATGTCTCCCTCACTCTGTTCTAGAAACCAGGCCCTGGCCTGCAGCCCTCTCCAGAGTAAGATAAGCAGCCTGTGTTGTAAACATACAGCGTTAATCCCGTGGAGCTACAGTAAAGATTATTACCCAAATCCTTTGGTCATATTACATAAGCTTTATTTTTTTGTCACACTAAGGCTATCTCCCTAAAGCAAGATTTGAGAAAATAGTATCACACATAGGAGACAGTGGGGTTTATGTAGCTAAAAACAAAACAAAACAAAAACAAAAATCTGTAAGACGGGATTTTCAAGAGTTGAGAGATTTCCAGAAGAGTTTTGCTTATGTAGGAACTTGGCTGAATATTTCAAAACTGTTTGCCAGAACATCTTATCAGGGTGGAGGTGAGGGTATAGCGTGTGGAACACGTCAAATTCCAGAAAATGGGTCAAGACCTGCTCAAATCCAAGTTTTATAGAAAACAAGAATGAACTTGTTTTGACCTTGTAACAAGATGGCTTTTAATCTTAAAATGGAGTCAGCATGCCCCTCAGCAGCTCTTCTGAACAGTCGAGTGCTTTCCTCTCCTTGGCAGATGTGAGTCTGCCTCCCTCTGAATTCCAAGGCAGCTTTTCATTTCTTTTTCTTCCTTATCAGTGTCTCTTTGACTTCTGGCAGGTAGGGTAGGTCACAGAGTATGGATCCCTCATCCCCCTGGAGACCTATGAGTAAGAAACTGGAGGGAACTGAAGGCATTCTCCTCGGTGGGCATGAGGTCATATTTTTCTTAGTTATTTTTCTGTTGCTGTGATGAAACACCATGACCAAGGCAACTTACAGAAGAAAGAGTTTATTAGGGATTACAGTTACAGAAGGGGGTGAGTCCCTGACTGTCACGGAAGGGTGCAGGCAGGCACGGTCCTGGAACAGTAGCTGAGAACTTACAGTCTTATCTGCAAGTTGGAGAGAGGAGAGAGGAGAGAGAGAGAGAGAGAGAGAGAGAGAGAGAGAGAGAGAGAGAGAGAGAG